TGGAGGCAATGACAAAAGACAACCTACTAACTAAACTAACTCTGTGGAGCAGTCTTTAAGAAACTGATAGTCACTCAGGCAGTTAATTAATTCTCTAGATTTTATGGAATGAATTCATTCCAAACCCTCTCATCATATCTCCTTAATATCAATTTTAATATTATCCTTCCATCTTTGCCTCTGTCTCCTAAGTGGTCTCTTCCATTCAGGCTTTCCAACCTAAATTTTGTATGCATTTCTCATCCCACAAAATTTTCTGTATGTCATACCCATCTCATCTTCTCTGATTTGATCATTCTTTCAATATCTGATACAGCACAAATTATGAAGAAATTTTCTCCATCCTTTTGTCATTCATCCTTCTTAGATCCAAATATTCTCCTCAGTATCTTGTCCTTCCTTAATGTGAGAGACCATGTTTATACCAACACAAAACAACACCTAAGATTACAGTTTTGAATATTCTGATCTTTAAATTTTTTACAGCAACCAGGTAGACAAAAGATTCTTAGCCCCATGATAGCAAACATTCCTCATATTTAATCTGCTCTTAATTCCTTCATGAATGCTATTTTTAATCATTACCATCACACCCTGGCATCATAGACAGATGGAAAGATTACTTTAGTAAGTTACTCCAGGTATCGACTCAATTCCAGTAGAATTAATCCATGCAGGTGTTAGAACACTGCACTCATAGACAGATAAGCTAATAATCTTGATTTAAAACCAGGAAGCACTACCACAACTTGTCCCTATCCATAAAACAGGTGACAAAACTGAGTGAAGCAACTTCTGAGGTATCTCTCTTTTGTCATCATACAAAATTTTATCCAATAATCTGCTGGTACAGTTAACTCCATTTATGATGAAACTATCTGGGACAATCAATGTGGATTACACCATAAGAGGTCTACTATTGATCAGATCTTTTGCATTCGACAAATATTAGAGAAAAAATGGGAGTATACACCAACTATCTGTGGACTTTAGGATGGCATATGACTCATAAGAGAGGTACTATATAGCATAGTGTAATTGCGTCATATTGTGAATATTATAACAATTATTTATTTTAATCTGTCTGATCACAATATAATTTTTATTTAAAATTTCTTATAATTAAGATAATAAAATATCATTCATGTTCCATATCGATTGATCGATTTACATTTCGAGCAATCGATAAGGAACATGAATGATATTTTATTATCTTAATTATAAGAAATTTAAAATAAAATTATATTGTGATCAGACGGATTAAAATAAATAATTGATTCTGTCTACCTGTCTAACATCATGTTAAGTATTGGTTATTGTGCGTGTGTGGATATGGGTTTAATATAATGTTTAACAGCTTGTGTTTTTGTATGAATAGTATGTGAAATATGGTTTTACTAGAAAATGTCAGAGAAAATTTCTTCGTAAATTTCCTGGGTTCACAGTTCCAGCACAACAGACTTCCAGGTCTATTGGGTAACTTCTGGTTCTGTCAGATCCCTTCCCAGTTCACAATGGCCTAAGATAGGGGGATGATTTATCCCCAAAGCTCTTTAATTTTGTTCTTGAACATGTCATCAGGAAGGGCTCGAATTGAATGGTCTGCACCAGGTACTTGCCTATGCTGATAATGTCAGTCAGTTAGGGGAAGATGTGAGTACCATAATTAAAAATGCAGAAACTCTCCAACAGGCTAATAAAGGAAATAGGCCTAGAAGTAAATGTAGACAAAACTAAAAACAAGGGTGTAATACAAGATCAACATCAGCAACAACAGTGGAACATGATAAGTAACACATCATTTGAAAATATTTCATAATTTAAATATCTGGGAACAACAATAACAAATAGAAATGAGGCCCATGATGAAATTAAGAGTAGAATGCATTAGAGAAACGTTTGTTTTCATTCATTTCTGAAACTGTTATTATCTCATTTGTTATCGAAAACACAAAAGATCAACGTCACCTATAAAATATTTACAGCAGTATTATCTAAGCATTTGGAGCTTCAAGTTAAAGATTGTTTAGGAGACTACCAGTGTGGAAAAGATCAACGTCACCTATAAAATATTTACAGCAGTATTATCTAAGCATTTGGAGCTTCAAGTTAAAGATTGTTTAGGAGACTACCAGTGTGGTTTTAGGAAAAACCAATCAACAATTACCAGATTCACTGCCTTAGAACTACACTTGAGAAGACATGCGAACAAAACATCGAAGTGCATCAACTATATATCAACTTCAAACAGGCCTACGATACCATAGAAATCAACTAATAGAAATAATGAGAGAATTCAGATTTTCAGTTAGTAAGATTGGTGAAAATGACCCTGACAAATACTTGCAATAAGATGAAAATACAAGGTAGGGTCTCTGACAGCTTTGAAACAGTGACGGGCTTACAACTGCTATTTAACATTTGTCTAGAAAAGGTCATTAGAGCAATCAAAACAAACCCTGGAGGACACATCTTTAATAGAATCTGTCAGATACTCGCATACACAGATGATTTGGTGGCGCTGGGAAGAAGTTTGAAGTACCTCACAGAACCAATGGAAGAGATAATTACTGCAGCTAAGAAAGTAGGCCTTGAGATCAACAACACCAAAAGCAAGTATATGCTGAACAAGATGAGCGGAGCCAATGAGCCTGGGGTAGTAGAGATTGCTGGGAGGGAATTTGAAAGGGTGGAGTCTTTCAAATATCTAGGCTCCTTGATCACAAGCTGTAATGACATCCTCACAGAAATAAAAGCAAGAATTGCTGCGGGTAACAAATACTACTACGCTCTAGGCCAAGTTCTCAGGAAAAGGTACATCCACCAAAACCTTAAAGTGCGATTGTACACTACTATAATATGACCTATAGTATTGTACGGATCCGAATGCTGGACTTTAACATCTCTAGCTGAAAGACTGCTTATGTCCTGGGAAAGGAAAATTTTAAGGCAGATTTTTGGTCCAATATGTGACAATGGCCTATGGAGAATTAGAATGAATATCGAGCTGGAGAAGTTGTTCAAAAGTTCAGATATTGCAGCTGTAATAAAGGCAAGAAGGATAGAATGGTTTGGACATATACTCTGAATGAGTGCTGATAGAGGATGTAAGATGATCATCAATAGTAAACCTCCTGGCAAATTAAAGAAAGGAAGAACGAAACTCTGGTGGATCGAAGACGTGGAGTCTGATCTTAAAGAGATGGGTGTAAGAGGCTGGAGAAGGAAAGCACAGAATAGGGAAGACGGCATCGATCGCAAGAGAAGCCAAGGCTACACTGAAAGGGCCATAGTGCTAAAGAAGAAGAAGCATTAGAGAAATTCTTGTTTTCATTCATTTCTGAAACTGTTATTATCTCATTTGTTATCGAAAACACTTAAAGATCAGGATATATATAAAAAATTATTTTGCCTTTTGTCTTGTATGGTTATGAAACATGATCTCTTACCTTGAAGGAAGAAAGCAGATTACAATTGTTTGAAAACAAGGTGCTCAGGAAGATATATGGACCTAGGAAAGATGAAATAAGTGGGGAATTTAGAATATAACATAATGAGGAGCTGTGTGAATTGTACAGATCACCTAGCATAGTGAGGATATTGAAATTTAGGAGGTTCTGTTGGGATGGACATGTAGCACGCATGGGGGAGGTGAAGAGTGTATATTGAATTTTGTTAGGGAATTCTTCTTGAAAACAACCAATGAGCAGACCAGGAAGCAGACCGGAGGATAACATCAAGATGGATCTTAGGAGTCTCACTGTGAGGTTGGCAAATGGATGAAGTTGGCTCAGGACTGTGGCCGATGGTGGACTTTGGCATTATCAGTGTTGGTACCTTCGGGTTCTACTACCAGGGAGATAGTTACCATCACTCCCGAATACAGGTAACCAAAAGTTACACAACCCGTATTAACACATTTGTTGATCATAAAATAAGCAAACAAACAACTATTAACACTATAAAAAAGACACTAGTGCCAAACATGTTTCAACCTCAAGAGGTCATCATCGGTAACAACAGGTAAATTAATTCATTTAATCAAAATGCTTTAGAAAACAAATCATGAAGTAGAGTATTTTACAAAAGCATATTAAGTAACACTACACTGGATGTTGGTTTCACAGGAGTTTAACTCTGCACTTAGCTATTGATCCAATGGTCCGGTGGCCGTAGCTGGTCTGCGACGAGCTGTGGTTGTGTCGTCTGTACCTGTGAACTCCAACAAAGCGTGGGTGTTTGTTTGCTTATTTTATGTTCTAATACACTACATGGTATGCAAAGTTTTAAGTTTAATATTTGTTGGTGGTTGAAATTCAGTATAATTTGACTGGATTAATAAACATGCAATATCACAGTGACTATACAAGAGCCCATGTAGGTCATGTCATGTTGTAACCTGCTCACACGGTCTATCAGTTATCTTCAATTAGTTGAAGTGTAAGGATATCTTTTTTATAACTGCAGTGGACATTCATTGTCAAACACTACCTGACATCCTGTTGTTATTAACTATCCAGAATGAGTTTAAGGATACATTTCCTGATTATCCTGTGCCAAAGAAATCGACAATATTAAACTGTGCATTTCAAATGTCACTGCAGAATCTCTTCACCAGGTTGCATCAAGCATGAGAAGAGTATAAGGAGCAAAATACATTAGCCCCACCTAACCTAACTTCCATGTGATGTATCTCATGTTCACAGACTGGGTTCTAATATCTAAGAAATCATGATCTAATCATTATATCTATATTGGATGAAATGCTACCTATTTTAAGGAGACCACGTTATACTGGAATAACCACTACCAGGGTTAGCCTTACTAAAAATGGTGCCCTGAGTGAATGACCCCTCTGCAGACCATTCTTGCAACATGAACAGTTTGTATATTAAGTGATGATTATCAAAATTATCGCACACAATGATACGACTAATAATTTTGCTGCTTTACATCACCTTATGAAGCTTTCTGGGGCCCTATTAAGTTCTTTCTTATGTTCTTATGATTTGGCTCTTATAAAGCAGATGATTATGAGATACGATGAAAATGATTTTGAAATTTAGCAATTATTATAACAATCCACCCCAATATTTGCTTTGGACTGAGGTAAACCAGAGAAATCTACAGTCAAGGGTAGCCAGTGTCCTCAATGTGAAGCTATCACAGTTTTGAGCTGAAAACTTTGATCAGCAACCACAACAGCTGACAAACACGTATATCAACAGAAATATGATAAGAATCAGCATGACAACTGAAATGAGGCACCACCTGAATGAATCTCAATCAGAGCAGTGTCTAACATAAATGATCACAATGTTAAGACAACTCACCCGTAATGGAAACCAACATCATGATTCCCAACCACAACGAACATTTGTGAGCCTGCTGGCACCCTGAATAAGTCATTGAACCGGTTCACATAGTATGCAAATTCTTTCTCACTGCACCAGAGCCCCTCATCAAACAGATCCCCTGCAGAGAAAAAAGCAGTACAGTAGGGCCCCACTTATCAGCGCCCTGCTTTTCAGCGATCCGCTAATACGGCACTTCTCAATTGCATACATATACAGTAGGGCCCCACTTTTTCGGCCCCACGCGCTCAACAGCTGAGTCAGAGAAGTGCGTCCGGCGATATTTTCTCGTCACTGATTCAGTCTGTTTACATCTTTTTTGAGCTCCACGTGTTTCTGTATTTATGGCAATTTTTCAAAGTTATTACATAGTATAAACATATTAATTTTCAAATTTATATTCACCAATCACTATAAGCTGAGGACGAAAATATTTTAAAGTAAGCAATGTGTGTACTACTGAAATTCATTTTACTTTCATGTTGTTTTCTTAGGCCTAGCACTATTGTGCACTTACTATTTGATAGCGTAAACATCTTATTAGGCTTTTATATGCATTTCCAAGTGAAAAAAAGGCAAAGGTCCGCTTTTCGGCGATTTTCGCTATTTGGCGGGGGTCTGGTCCCAAACCTGCCATATATGCGGTGCCCTACTGTATAATACAGTGTTTTTCTTAAAATCCATTTGTTTGTCACCTGTTTGTATAAGACAAAGGTCACCTGATAAGACTGTTATTTTGTGATTCTATATCAACAACTGAGGTTTTGTAGCAATGGGATCTTAACAGGATAATTAAATGATAAACTGGGAGTGATGTGGAAGTGATCATGGCCTATTTTAAGATACTGCATATCCCAGTATATGTGTGGAGGGGCTGAGGGTAACCAGTCCCATGCTGAGATTTGAACCCAAATACCTCCTAGAAGAACCTGCCAGTCCACTGAGTGATGGATGTCAGTCCCTAGGTAGTAACCAAATGTTACTGTGTAGTGTTTAACACTTACACACAGACATATTAGCAAGAACGTAAATTCCTGGCACAAAACACTGGAAAAGAAGTATAAAAGGAAAATCTACAAAGGTCTGTCCTGGATTAAGTTGACTCTGTGCCAAAGTCCCACATTATGAAGTTATATAGGGGAATAAGAGCAAAGTTCCACACATCTTTAACCTCAACAATATATCAAAATAATTGACCACTTCAGCCTAAGGAAATAGCCCTAAGTACCCAACAGCCCGAGCACCAAAATGGATGAGATGGCAAACAGAGAAATTCTTATCACTACAAGGAAGACATTTTACTAACTCAGCTATCTTGGCAAAATGTCCCAGGTAATCAGGAATTACCATGCATGCTATGCTTTTGCTGCATGGATTATGGCAAAGATGGCTGAAGGAGGGGCACTGTATGGACTGATAAACGCAGCATGATAACTAAATACATCCATGATGATAGTCAATATTATAATTCAATAAGAGGAGTTTATCAATAAAAGGAAAACATGAAAGGCATGAGAAAACAGGCTTCTCAAATAGTGAGCCAAGAACAAAGACTCCTGGCATTTTATGGTTCAAATTTCCAAATTTCGTATGAGACTCACCAAGTACAAATACAATATCTGGATTGTGTATTCCCATGGCTGTCTGGAAGGCTCGATACATTTGCCATTCTCTGAAAATATACAAACTTATACCATTAATAGTCAATATAAACTGTTCAGTAATCTATAACAAATATTTGCAGAATCAGTAACTTTGCTAGTAGTACAGAGGATTCTCATTTCAACTAACATCTGGTTGGCTATACATTTGACAAATTATAAACACAACAATTAAAAATTAATTAAATGCATTTAATTTAAATTACAAAATTCAGAGTAACTGACTTAAATGGGCTTGTCATGTGGAAAGAATGGGTCAAGAATGCATTCCTAAACTATTAATGTATTATACACCAAGATGAGAGAGATCCATTAAATGCCTGAAGCTTTGTTAGAAAGAGCAACCTATTCAATAAAAAGATGGAATTGACTGTGTAGACTACACCTTGATACTGATGATGACTAACCTCTATATTTATGTGCAGATATGTTGCCACCACATATAAATCACATCCTTCTTCATGGTACACATTATACTTCAAATTTTCACAAAAATATTTGTTTTCTAGATTCTTCTTCCCCTTAAATTCACATATTTTTAATTCATGTACTTTTTGAATGAAGTGCTTGTGATACCATTTGATCTCAGAAATTGTCCCTTTCACTTTTTGTGTAAGACCCAGATGCAATCATGTCTTTATCATGAGCAGCAATGCAAGTGAAACATCTTCAAGCTGAACTTAGTTAAATATGCAGAAGAAATCAAAAATACAGCTACAGAAAAGAAGTTTGATATTGGAAAAACACTAGCAAGGGACTGAAAGGCACTAGAAGACTCCCTCACAAAAGCAGACATATCCAGATGATCTTCCCAAAACCCAAAAATGAAAAATTTTTGGAGGTGAAAACAGGGTTACAGTTGATTACATATGTATGCCATGCCATAGCACAGGCAGTTAGTTGCTGGCTTCTCACCACAGAGGTCTCAGTTCACAATCAGGAGAGTCCATATGGGATTTGTGGTAGACAAAGTGGCACTGGGACAGGATTTTTTGAGTCCTTTGGTCTTCCCCTGACAACATATTCCACTGATGGTCCATACTCACTCATGTATGATCTGGAGATGGACAATGGGCCCATCAGTGGTTGCAACTCCACAAAGATATAGTGTCACCCATTGTAACAATAAATACAGATGCATATATAAAGCACAAAAACCAGACAAAATATTTTTCATAAAAAGCATCAGTTTAAAGCTCATGAAATTAATGAATCTACGTTCTGAAATTCCAGGGACAGCATTCATGGCAAGGCAGAAAGTCACAAATGAAACATGTCCATACTCCTAACACATACTTGTATAAGGTATTCTTTCACATGAAACATGTCCCTTTGAGATAACATGATGTTCTGTTATGTGTTTCTGTTAAAACTGCACATGAAGGTGAAATAATACTAACATTTCTATGTTTGCTAATTAGTATTTAACCTTTCAAGCTGGGAGAGCCTGTGTACAGTCTGACAGCATTTAAATGTCCCCATTGGTAGTATACAAGCAGTAAATAAATTCTATTTAAAAATACTCCTACTAGGTCTTTTAAGTATCTCTGCAATATGTAACCAGTTAAATATTGGTTTAAAGGGTTAAACCAATATACCATTAATAATATGAGATGATGTGCAATTATGTCTCTATTATCAATAGAACAAGTCATATATGTTACATATTTCCATTTCAGCTAGTAAATATGGTTCCCTTTTCATTTTAAATTCCTAGGTTTGTAATGAGACCACATTTGATTGCATAAACACCCTGTACTTCTTATACAATTCAACACGTGGACATCATACACCATAAATTAGTTTTTTTCTGTAAATACGTTGTGTGTTTCATGACTGAACCACTATTTTCTGTGTTGAGAACAAAGGGACCATTTGATGAGTGCCTCCATGTTGTACACTTCATGTTTTCTTAAGACATTTATTATTTGTGTCCTGAACCAATCAATCACTGTTCAAATTTTCACAACCTATTTCACTAATATCGATTTTAATATTATCCCCCTGCTCATATCTGGGTCTCTCAAAACACTTTTCTTGAGGTTTCCCAATCAAAATGTTATATGTATTTGTTCTCCCCATTTTGTTACATCACACACCTCTCTCATCCTTCGTGATTTAATAATAACCTAACAATATTAGCTGAATGCAAAATCTCTTAATACATAACTTAGTTCAGTAGATTGTGTCTAGTTTATGGCATTTAGCATGTACTTAGGGCAGATAAGTGAAATCTTGTCACAGTATACATCTATTAATGTATTCCTAAGACTATACATCAATCTACACATTTTTGAGCTACATACTAATAGAAATTATAAGCTAAGGTAAAAATTATATAAAGTAAAATAGATTTTTAAAAACCTAAGACACAGGTGATTAAGAGTTTTACTACATTTTCACATTCACACCAAGATACACTAATTTTAAATGTGATTTAGATATATTATTAATTATGTAAAATTACCCTGAAAAACAAATTAAACCCAAAATTCTTTGAGCATGCTTTCTTCACAAACTGTATGACCTGAGGGTGTCCTCGTGACTTTTGTTATAACAAGCTTCATACAACTAAGGCCGGGTGCAAAGGGAGCCACTAGCCACCGCCACTTGCTGTGGCTAAACACGACCACTAGTGGTCGCCATTTTATGCAGACATTTTCCCCAACCGCGCGTCAGTAACACAATGGACTCCGATATGGAAGCATTGGTCACAATACTAATAATACGACAACGCCGACGTAAACGACGACAAAGACAGCGCCGTTTTTGGGTACATCCAATATTGCCAACTCACAACGAACACGGCCATTTTGCTACACTTTTCGAGGAGCTAAAGAGGCACGAAGATAAATTTTGTAAGTATTTTCGAATGAGTTTGACAACATTCAATGAATTATTGTCCTTGTTACAAGATCGTTTAAAACGTCAAGATACCAACATGAGAGAAAGCATACCTCCTGCAGAAAGACTTGCTATTACATTGAGGTAGTGGTTGGGGAGCTAGGAATGGTGGTGGACGCGAGTGGCTGCATTTGCGCGGGATAAACGGTGGTCGAACGCAGCCACAAGTAGCGAGACACGGCCACTACCGCAGCGTGTGGCCAGGTTGGGCCACTACAAACGACATGTCTGCGCTGAGTCTATTAAAACTGCATACAAAACACAGACCGCAGCTTGTGGCAGCCACAAGTGGCTGTGGCTAGTGGCTCCTGTGGCCAGGTTGGGCCACTACAAACGACATGTCTGCGCTGAGTCTATTAAAACTGCATACAAAACACAGACCGCAGCTTGTGGCAGCCACAAGTGGCTGTGGCTAGTGGCTCCGTTTGCGCCCGGCCTAATGCCACTGTAATGACCACTATTAGCATCATAAAAGAAGTAGGATTTGAGGTTTTCACAATGATGAGTATGTAGATGGCTGTCTTCTAGGTTGTTGTGCTGTGTAGTCTGGTACAAGTTTACCGGAATTTCATAGGTCCTTGCTGCCTCCATCACTACCCTAATGACGGAGACAGCAGGGACCTCTGAAACGTCGGTAAACTTCTACCAGACTACATGGCACAACAACCCAGAAGACAGTCATCTTCATCACAAAACAAATCTGCTCAACATTTCAACTCTTTAAAGTGTTCTAACCTTCTCAACTTATCAAACCAGTGGCCTTTGCGGGATCCAAGAAGATGTGTGTCTGCCAACAGAAGAGCACGAACTGGTTGCTCATTTTGTCTTAAATTAATTGTGTTGTCAGCCTTGTTTGGGTCCAATTGTGGCCACCAACACTAAACACAAGAACACAAAGAAAACAAAGTGGATTATTTGTATAAAATCACATTTGCAATGGTAAGAACATTGTATCTGAATTGTTTTCAGATACTGTTAATATTGTATGCTGTGTCATTTACCTGCAGTAAAACAATATAGTAAATGAGGAATTCACAATAGAACACAAGTCCTAGTGCAACAAGAAAACACTTGGACAAGTAAGTAACTCTAAGTCCCATATTTTCATCTTCCAGAAAAGATTACTTGCATTCCAAGTTCTCAGTCTGCAAATAAACTCAGAAAAATACACATTAAAAATTTATCAGAACAACAGAATTATATATTAAGTGTGGAACACTTAAAAAAAGCTTGATAACATTTTAATGAAGAACAAGTCATGGATGTATTCATTTGATATGAAATTGAAGTGGTAAAGTTCAAAGTCCTGGTTCCCTACCACAACATAGAAGAAGACAGCATAGTACTCTCATGGTACTTTGATAAGTGATGCATGTCATGTTGTTCATCTGAAGCTTCTGCTTGACCATCTTGTACCACCTCATACTACCATTAATGGCCATATTATGCAACACTTTTAAATATGTTGAGACCTGTCAAGTTTCTTTATAACAGTGCAAACCCTGTGACCATTATGAAGCACATACTGTGCTGCATGAATGAGTTTTGTAGTACTGGCACACCCTCCTTCCATGGACCTACACCCATACGACTGCATTCAGTTTAAAGATAGCTGCATTCAGAGTTGCTGTTGAGTAGTCTGGTAGAAGATTATCAATGTTTCAGAGGTTCTTACTGCCTCCATCATCATCATCTTCTAGCTGTCTTTTGGGCTATAGTACCATGCAGTCTGGTTATCACCCTGATGATGGAGGCAAGAAGGACCTTTGAAACACTAGCAAACTCCTACCAGGCTATGTGGTGATAAAACCCAGGAGGCAGCCACCTCTGTACTCACCACTGTGAGATCCTCAAATTATATTTGCATTCTGTTTGTTTGGGTGTAGCAGTCATTTCAGGAACATAGTTTAACAACATATGCAGGGTTCTAAGCATCTGCCTCACTAATGGAAATAGTGTGATAGCCCAGATGATGGAGAAAGTAAGCACCTCTGAAACATCAGTAAACTTCTACCAGCCTACAAGATGCAACAAGGTTTCATGAAAAACAAATTTACTTTTACAGAACCAATACTTTAAACATCCATAAACTCCTAGACAGTATTCCTATTGCAGAAAATGTGAAACTTTCACGTTTCCATCAGTTATTACACTAGACACAAAGATTTAAGAGTATAAAAAAATGTGGACTTAGGTACCACAATAACATAATATAATTTCATTTTAAAGGTTGCAAAAAGGCACTGATCCTAAAAACAGCATTATCTCATTTTGGATACGTATCACTTATCTTACTTTTAATTATATACTTATTATAAACTGGATATTTATTCACACACATGCTGTAACAAGTTCCACATCTTTGTACTAAGAAATATGTATGGAACGTACATAAATTCTATTGTGTTCTTTTCTCTTAGAATTTGCCTTTTATTTATATTTCATCGTACAAGACACGGATGAGCAACATGTCAATGCACATACACAGTACTTGCTTCTAATGCAATATTACATAGTTGTGACAGTCCACTACAGTATTACAATATAATTACACAAGGGAGCATCACAAAACTATTAATCTAATCTACCTCCTCCGCCATTTAAAATTATTCCAATTCCTCCGAAAGCAATACAAGTTTCATAACACTCAATTGCTTTAAATAGGGTAAAGACAGAGCACCATTCTTCTTCTAACCTACTCTTGTATTTTCTCAATCACAGATATTACCAAGTATTGTATTGTATCTACGTGGTGTGTTCACCACGCACTACCACCACAGATAAATTAAACATAAAACACAGTAAATTGCTATTAACTGTGGTAGAAATTCATGACTTTATGTTGATTCTCGCTTCCAAATACGTCATATCATAGTCATGGCGTCTGTCTTGGTTCCAGAGTTTGAAAGGCCTGGGTTTTCATTTGAAAACTGTCAAAGGTAATAAGAATTTATTAGAATTTTGATTGCAATAATTGTAAGGACTATTGCGCTTTATTGTTAAATATTGTTGTATTATTTTTAGTGTAATAACAACAAAATTTACTTGAAAAAGAACATGCATTGTCACGTCTGTGAAGTATTATGGACAAGTGGCACAGCATTTTATAATGTTCCATCTTATTCAAAAATAAATGTGAAATAATTTACGTTTTTCCTATAAACATCGATTGAAGCGTTGTGTAATTGACAGTGATTGCTTAGTGATGTACTTTGCCAGAGGTGTCCTGTAACAGTGACCTGAAGTAAAGGAGAAAATCTCATATATTAATGCCATGTTGTAGGAATGCTTTCCTTCAAAGTAAAGGGTTTCCTGTACCCAAGGCGGTGAAGACGGGAACAACAATAGTTGGAATAATATACAAAGATGGTGTAATCCTTGGAGCTGATACCAGGGCTACAGAGGATGTGCTTATATCTGATAAGAATTGTGCCAAAATTCACTATTTGGCCCCAAATATGTACTGCTGTGGTGCTGGTACAGCAGCCGATACATCTAAGACTACTCAGCTGATTGCATCTCAATTAGAACTTCATCGACTAAATACAGGAAGAGTTGTTCCTGTTGTCACAGCAAACAGGATGCTGTCACAGATGTTGTTCCGTTATCAGGCAAGAGAAACATGATTATAAATGTGCACTGTATTGTTTGTTTCTGCTTAGGTTTTCATGTGACATATATATGGCAATATTGTATTTGCATAACAGACACTTCATGTACAGAAGAATCATTTTGGTTCTTATTCTCATTCAGACAGAAGCTCTACAAGTTTATATTTATACCAGAACTTATCCAATTCCATCATGCTCTTTTCTTTTGAAAGTGGCATGTCTGAGGAGAAAGGCTGATTTTTGCACAGTAGTTACTGGAGGGGGGGTATGCATACATAAAAATACAGATGGTACATAGGGGACACCATTTCCAAAGTTCTATACAAGCTTTGATATTAAATGCCACATGAGAAGTAATTTTCTGCTGTCCAGTTTGGTTTTAAGGTTGGGAGACATCAGAATATATGTTTATTACTGCCTGCAAATCAAAAGACACAGATATTATAGAGTATTGTTTAACAATAGATGGCATGTTAAAGGTATGTACAGACTATTTCAATTGATGTAATTCCATTGTCAGCTTTTTTTAGTCATTTTTGCTTTTGCTTTAGGGCTACATAGGAGCATCTCTTGTCCTTGGTGGAGTCGATAACACTGGTCCACATCTGTACTGTATCTACCCACATGGATCATCTGATAACGTGCCGTATGCCACCATGGGCTCTGGTTCACTTGCTGCAATGGCAGTGTTTGAATCCACATGGAAGCCAAATATGAATGTAAGTTTCTGGTCAAATTTCTATCATTTGTAAGATGAGAATTCTGCAGTATCCAGATTTTCACTTATACTAAAATGATAAGTGAGTGAATTATTCAGAAAGGAATGAAATGTTCAGATTATGTTACATCTTTATAGTGTTCTGTTAAATTGGCTCTGAAGTCCAGTCTGTATCTCATTGAAATGACTAGGAAAACACAGAATATAAAAGTATTTCTCCTAACCCAAAAGGAGGGAAAAGCTAGAAAAGAAAAATTTAAGGACTGTGGGACATTAATGTTTTTTAATAGTAAAACTAATTTGTGAATAAGTATATTAGAATCTAGCCAGTTTTTATAAGCATCCTCTTCCTCTCTTTTCCCCCCTTACAACATAAAATTTTGGTGTTCTTACCTCTGGTAATGCAGTGTTGCAACTATATTGTTGGTTACAGGAGGAGGAGGGGAAACAGCTGGTAAGGGATGCTATTGCATCAGGTATCTTCAATGATCTTGGATCTGGCAGCAATGTGGATGTCTGTGTTATCCGTAAAGGGAGCGTGGATTACCTCCGCCCTTTTGATCAAGCAAATGTCAAGGGAA